GGCACTGGGGCCTTCGGTGGAGCTCCCTATGGAGCCACGAAACGTGTGAGGGGTGTGCCGAAATGGGTGTGGGTGACGCATGCGGGCGCGGGCACTGGGGCCTTCGGTGGAGCTCCCTATGGAGCCACGAAACGTGTGAGGGGTGTGCCGAAATGGGTGTGGGTGACGCATGCGGCCGCGGGCACTGGGGCCTTCGGTGGAGCTCCCTATGGAGCCACGAAACGTGTGAGGGGTGTGCCGAAATGGGTGTGGGTGACGCATGCGGGCGCGGGCACTGGGGCCTTCGGTGGAGCTCCCTATGGAGCCACGAAACGTGTGAGGGGTGTGCCGAAATGGGTGTGGGTGACGCATGCGGCCGCGGGCACTGGGGCCTTCGGTGGAGCTCCCTATGGAGCCACGAAACGTGTGAGGGGTGTGCCGAAATGGGTGTGGGTGACGCATGCGGCGCGGGACTGGGTGCCTTCGGTGGAGCTCCCTATGGAGCCACGAAACGTGTGAGGGGTGTGCCGAAATGGGTGTGGGTGACGCATGCGGGCGCGGGCACTGGGGCCTTCGGTGGAGCTCCCTATGGAGCCACGAAACGTGTGAGGGGTGTGCCGAAATGGGTGTGGGTGACGCATGCGGGCGCGGGCACTGGGGCCTTCGGTGGAGCTCCCTATGGAGCCACGAAACGTGTGAGGGGTGTGCCGAAATGGGTGTGGGTGACGCATGCGGGCGCGGGCACTGGGGCCTTCGGTGGAGCTCCCTATGGGGCCACGAAACGGTGTACTGGGTGGGTGAAGAGGAGAGGAGGAGAGGAGAGGAGGAGAGGAGAGGAGAGGAGAGGAGAGAAGAGGAGAGGAGAGGAGAGGAGAGGAATGATGATGCTAATGATGATGATAATGATCATGATGACGATGATGATGATGATGACGATGAGGATGATAGGAGGGGAGAGGAGGCGGAGGAGGAGAGGAGGAAGGAGACGCGGGGCACCGTCTCTTCAAAACGAGGACCCAACACCACAGGATGGTTGGGAACTACTGAAACGGAAAAACTTTCGAAGGTCCGCGCAGATTTCTTTGATCGGCGCTGGACCACCCTCCCTGGCGCGCGGAGCGCGCCAGGGGCGGCGCCGCCACAGGGTCCCAACGCTGATTCAAGAAACCCGCGCGGACATCCGAGAAATTATGTTTATGCATAGGCTCGGCTACACGCAAGAGTGACTGTGGGCTAACGTGACCTTTGGTTCGCGGCTTTAGGGGAGCGCGGGGGTGGCCAAACCCGAGCGCGCATGCCGCTGCTATAGCATCGCGTTCAGCCATCTTGGGATCTCAATGCGCCCGCACTCAAGGTCATTCTGGCAAAAAGCCACTCTTACGGGCTGTCGATCGACTACGAAAAAACAGCACACACACACACATACACACACATACCCACACCCACAGGGGGTGTCGAAGGGAGGAGGACTGGCTATGGGTATTGATGCGGGTTGTCGGACCCCAGAGGAGGCTCCCGTTAGAGCGGATACCCCCATCCATCAGCACGCACCCAGAAACCCCATCCGTCACCCCTTGTTGATATTGGTGCGTGTGTGTTTAAGGAAATGAACAATTACATAAGCATAAAGACTCGGAGGTCCGCGCGGATTTCTTGGATCCGCGCTGGACCCCCCTCCCTGGCGCGCGAAGCGCGCCAGAGGCGGCGCTGGAGGCGCCGCCAAGGGGCTCCAGCGCCGATCCGAGAAATCAACGCGGACCTCCGAGTTATTGCATTAATGTCATCGTTCGTTCCCCTGGTGTTGTTCGTTCCTTCTCAGACAATCGGCGGGCGGCACAAGTCGCCTTGGACAGCTCGGAGAGGCCCCGCAGCCACCTGCAGTGGCAGCCCTTGCCGTCGCTCTTGTTCTCGGCCAGGCCTCGGCGCGCCGCGGGGCGGCCAGAGCTCGGGCGGCCTCTGGGGGGCCACCCCAAGAGGGGACGCAGGCGGACATACTGACGTTATGTACTCATGTCGGAGGCGCACGTCCGACACGAATGATAGATCCACGTGTACGTGTATATATAAGTGTATATATATATATACTAGAACCATCGCGCGCGCTTCGCGCGCGCTCAAGTTCTAGCTAGGATAATCGTCATCGTCATCATCGCCATCCTCATCACCATCATATCCGGCGTCATCGTCAGCGGCATCGTCATCATCACCATGACCATCACCATCATCACAATCGTCACCATCACCACCATCAGCAGCAACATCGTCATCACCATCGTCATCATCGCCATCGTCGTCATCATCGTCAGTATCGTCACCTGAGTTATCAACATCATCATCCTCATCATCACCATCGTCATCATCATCGTCGTGGTCGTCGTGATCGTCGTCATCGTTATCGTCATCATCATCGTCATCATCTTCATCATCCGCCCACTCCTGCATCACAAGCACCATAAACAGCATCGCCACCATTATTATCAACATCGGCGTTATCATCCTGACCATCACCAGCACCATCATAATGATCATCAGCATCACCATCCTCAACGGCATCACCGTCATCGTCATCATGATCGTCAGCATCACCACCATCACCATCATCATCACCATCACCCACATCACGATCACCATCATCATCATCATCATCATCATCATCATCATCAGCATCATCATCATCATCATCATCATCATCATCATTCCCACTGTCGACATCATCATCATCATCATCATCATCATCATCATCATCATCATCATCTTCTTCTTCCTCCTCCTCATCATCATCATCATCGTCGTCGTCAACTTCATAATAGTCGTCATTATCGTCATCATCTTCGTCACCGTCGTCTCCGAAGCTCCCCCGCCGAACTCGGGAGCTGTCTGGGGGACTTGGGTTGTGCGCCTGAGGCCAACATGCCTGGGTGATGGGCCAGTGTCCTGCTGGATGCCTGTTGGGATGTGTGAAGTCTTTCGGGGGCATCCTGTAAGCTCTCGAAAACCTCTTGGGTACTTCGTGGCTGCCTCTTGGGGCCTGGTGGAAGTCTCTTGGGAGCCTTGCGGGGCCCTTTCGGCGCCTTTTGGAGGCCTCTTGGAGCTTCCTGGGGGCCTCTCGAGGCCTCTTGCGGACTCCTGGGGGCCTCTTGGGAGCTTCTGGTGGGCGAGGGCTCGAAATGTCAGTTCGTGCTCCCCATCTGGGGCTCCTCATTGGAGTGTTCTGGGAGCTCTTTTGGGCCGTCTTGGAAGCTTCCTGGGCCATCTTGGGGCCCTCTTGGGCTGTCTCGGTGGTCTCTTGGGGGCCTCTTGGCTCGTCTCGAGGCGATCTTTCGGGCCTCTTGGGCCGTCTTGGAGCGTCTGGAAGCCGAACTGGAGAGAACGCCAAAACCCTTCAAAAACCCACTAAAAATCAATGAAAATTCCCTCTTGGGCCCCTCCCGGGAGTGCTGTCGGAGACCTGCTGGGACGCTTTGGCAGCCTTTTAACCGCCTTGGAGTGCTCCCGGGCCGCTTCGGACCTCTCTTGGGCTGTCCTGAGGGCGTCCTGGAGCCATTTTAGATGGTCCTGGGAGCGTCCTGGCGTCTCCGGCGGGGGGGTGACCACAGCCACTGGGCAAAGTGAGGCCCCCCCCTGGTCCAGGACCCCCGCCCCATTTATATCTATATATAAATCAATAAATAAATAAATAAACAAAAAAATAAATAGATAAATAAATCTATATATATATATATATATATATATATGTGTGTGTATCCGACATACATACCTGCCTACCTGCCTATCTGCCAACCTGCCTACCTGCCTACCGACCTACCGACCTACCTACATGCAGACATGCATGCATAATTTCATACAAACGTACCCACGTACGTACATACATATACATATACGTATACATAATCCTCCTCCTCGCCCTCCTCGCCCTCAAGGCTGTTGCCCACCCACCGCGCCTCCTCTACCACCTCCTCCTCCTCCTCCTCCTCCTCCTCCTCCTCCTCCTCCTCCTCCTCGGGGCCGCTGAACCAACTCCAACAGCGCTGGCCTCGGCGACGCTCGTGCTTTCGACCATGCAGACGTCTGAGACGGCAGTGCAGGTCCGAGCGGCGAGTCCCACGGACTGTGGTAAGTATGGTGAAAAACGGACGGCATCGACAATCTCATCACCCGATGTCCACAATCAAGGCCCAAGAGGGCCTCATTGGCGACGAAGGGCGGAGGTCCAGGACAGTTCAGAGAGGATGGCTGGGGGGTAAGAAAGGGGCAGGAAGATAGAAGTGAGAGAGCAGGGCACAAAGCGGTGGAGGCAGGCAAACGGGCAGAGGGGCTGTGTGTGACCGCGGCTCCTCTGGCCTTCCTGCCAAGCCCGCGCGTCGAATCCCGAGCTGTTCGCGGCGTGCCCTCTTCTGGGAAACGGAGCAGGCCGCGGAACAAGAGAGGCCTTGACGGTGGTCTGGGGCCAATCATGGGAATCCGCCTGGGTTGTGGGCCAGAGGCCTCATGGACGTATCTGGTGTCTCTTTGGAAGTCTCTCGGAGCACAATTTGGGACCTCTTGCGGGGGGGTTCGGGGTCTCTTGGGGACTAGTTTGGGCACTGTTTTGGGTTTTTTGGGGGCCTCTCGGCCCTTGGAGGGCCTTCTCGGCGGCCTCGTGGACCGTCTTGAAGGCCTTGGCCGTCTAGGAGCAGCCTTGGAGCGCTCGTGGGCCGTCTGGAGGCCATCTCAGTGCGCTCGTCAGCCATCGTCCAGACAACCTGGGGCGCTTTGGAAGCCTCTTGGGCCAGCTCGGGGACCTCTGGGGTGTCCGGGGCCCTCTTGTGGGACATCTTGGGACGATCTTGAGGGCCTCTTGGGCCGTCTTGGAGGCCTCTTGGGATGTCCTAGGGCGGTCTTGGGGTTCTCTGATGCCGTCGTGGACGCTATTCATACCAAAAAGAAGATATGCTAAATCCGCCGTGTGCGACCGACCTCGGCAACAAACACGCATATGTCCCAGCCACAACTCTTGGCCCGCTGCGCCCCAAACATGCCCCTGCATCCTCACCCCACCACGCCCCGGCATCTGCACCCATGGACAGCTCAGTTTGTGCCCCCCCCCGCACGACAATTCCCCCCCACCGCGCCCCCACCACGCCCCGGCATCCTCACCATGGACAGCTCAGTTGTTTGCCCCCCCCACACGACAACTTCTGGCCCGACCCCCACTGATACCCCTCACCGAGCCCCCACCACGCCCCGCTCTGTGTTTGGACCCCCCCAACCCGCAAATTCTCCCCTGGAACCTACCAACGCCCCCCCCCCGCCTCCACCACGTCCCGGCACACCCCCTCCCACGACAGCTGTGTTTGGGACCCCCCAACCCACAAATTCTCGCACGGAACCTACCCACGCCACCCCCCCGCCTCCACCACGTCCGGGCACACACACACACACACACACACACACCACGGCAGCTCTGTTCTGGGGACCCCCCAACCCACAAATTTTCACACGGAACCTACCCACGCCCCCCCCCCCCGCCTCCACCACGTCCGGGCACCCCCCCCCACGGCAGCTCTGTTCTTGGGACCCCCCAACCCACAAAGTCTCACCCGGAACCTACCAACGCCCTCCCCGCCGCTTCCACCACCCCCTGGCACTCCCCCCCCATGGCAGCTCTGTTCTTGGGACCCCCCAACCCACAAATTCTCGCCCGGAACCTACCAACGCCCCCCTCCCAGCCTCCACCACGTCCCGGCACCTCCCCTCCCCACGAAAGCTCTATTCCTGAGAGCCCCGAACCCACAAATTCTCGCCCGGAACCTACCAACGCCCCACCCCCCGCCTCCACCACGTCCGGGCACACACACACACACACACACACCCACGGCAGCTCTGTTCTTGGGACCCCCCAACCCACAAATTCTCGCCCGGAACCTACAAACGCCCCCACCCTCGCCTCCACCACGTTCCGGCACCCCCACTCCACGGCAGCTCTGTTCTTGGGACCTTCGAACCTACACATTCTCGCCCGGAACTTACCAACGTAAGAGACATTCTGGCCCGTTTCGCTGGAGACATCTTCGGAATTTTGCGCTCAAAGATGCCCTAATCTGAGATGGTCCATCCCGTCTCGCTTCAGACAATCTTACAACTCTGGGCTGAGAGATACCGTGACGTGAGGTGGTCTGGCCCTTCTCGCCTGGGACATCTTCGATGGGGTTCCGAAGTGTCCGGACTTATGAGGTGGTCCAGCCAATTTTGCCTGCGCCATCCCCGCCACTCGGAGCTCACGGATGCCGCGCAAGAGGTTGCCCAGCCAATTGCGCCTGAGACATCCTCGCAACACCAGGGCTCGAAGATGCTGCACGCGAGGTGGTCTGACCAAGTTCGCCTATAACATCCTCGCACCTCCTGGGACATCCTCGCGACTCTGGGCTTGGAGACCTGAAATGGACCAGCCTGTTCTGCCTGCGGCCTTCCTCGCAACGCTGATATCCGAGGTGCCGCGTGCGAGGTGGTCTGGCCGACTGCGCCAGGGGCATCCTCCCGACTCTGGGCTCCGAAATGCCGTTTCGCCTGACACATCCTCGCAACTCTGGGCTCCCAGTTGTCGCGCTGGAGGTGCTTCCTCGTTGCCATCGTCGTCGTCGTCGGCGTCGTCGTCGTCGCCGTCGTCATTGACATCGTAGCCGTCGTCGTCGTCTCCGTCGTCGTCGTTTTCGTCGTCGTCATCACCACCGCTGTGCTGTCCTCGTCGTCGCCGCCGCCGCCGAAACAGACGTCGTCGCGGCCGCCGGTGCCGCCGCTGCCGAAGCCACTGCAGTCCTCGTCGTCGCCGTCACCACCGACGCCGCTCTCGCCGCCGTCGTCGCCATTGTCTTCGGCATGGTCGTCGTCGTTGTCGTCGTTGCCAGCGCCGCCAACGCCGCCGGCGCTATCGTCGTCGTCGTTGTCGTCGTTGTCATCATCGCCGCAAGCGCCGCTGTCACCTTGGTGGTCGTGGCAGCCGTCGCCGCCACCGCTTTCGATGATGGCGTCGTCGTCGTTGCGTGGTCCTTCTCCTCGTCTTCTGCCTCGTCCCCGCCCTCCTCGCTACCTTCTCATCATTGCCCTTGCCTTTCCATCCCGTCGCCGGACCCCACATAAGGCCCGCAAAAAGTTTACATCGGAAATCGACGTCGTCCCCGTCGCCGCCGCAGCGGTGGCGATCGTCGCCGCAGCGCGTGCGCTGGCTGCCCCCCGGCGGGAACATCATTTCGAATCCACTTGCCAACCACTCACCAGAACTGCGCGTCACAACCGTTCGTCTGGTCACAGGGGGGATGCGCAGATTCCTTCGACGCCTGTCAACAAAAAGAAGCAAGACAAAAACAACGAAGAGCTCTGAGTTGCAAGGATGTCTCGGGCGAATCGAAGATCACCACAGGTCAGGACATACATGGGCCCAGAGTTGCGACGATGTCTAAGGCAAAAAATGCGCCAAGCCAAGAGTTGCGAGGATGTCTCAGGCGAAACTGACAGGACCACCAGTTGCGTGGCATCTCGGGGCTCACAGATGCCGCACGAAAAATTGTCCGACGTCTTTCGCATGAAATGTCCTCGCAATTCTGAGCTCCCAAATGCCGTGACCTGAGGTCCAGCCCGTTTCGCCTAAAACACCCTCGTAACTCTGGGATCCTATGCCGTGACCTGAAATGGTCCAACCCCTTTCGCCTGAAACTCTGAACTCCCAGATGCCGCGCGAGCGTTGGTCTGGCCCTTTCGCCTGACGCGTCCTTGCAACTCGAAGCTCCCAGATGCCGTGACCTGATTTGGTCCAGCCCGTTTCGCCGGAGACATCCTTGCAATTCTGGGTTCATAGATGCCCTGACCTGAGCAGGTTTGGCCCATTTCGCATGAGACATCCTTGCAACTCTGGCCTCAGAGATGCCGCGACCTGAGGTGGTCCTGCCCATCTCGACTGAGGCATCCTCGCAAGGCTCAGAGATGCCCTGTCCTGAGTTGGTCGTGCCAATTTTGCCTGAGATACCATGGCAACTCTGGGCTCCGAGATGCCGCGCAACAGGCGGTCCGGCCAGTTTCGCATGAGACGTCTTCATAAAGTTGGGCTCAGAGATAGTGCGCGAGAGGTGGTCCGACCAATTTCGCCTGAGACATCCTCCCAACTCTGGGCTCGAAGATGCTGCGCGCGAGGTGGTCTGGACAATTTCGCCTGAGACATCCTCCCGACGCTGGGCTCAGAGATGCCGCGCGCGAGGTGATCCAGCCCGTTTCGCTATAGACATCTTCACGCCTCTGGACTCAGAGATGCCCTGACCTGAGGTGGTCCGGCTCGTCTCGCCTGAGACATCCTTGAAACTCTTGGCTCGTCGCCTCACACATCCTCGCCAATCTACGCTCCGAGACGCCCTGACCTGAGGTGGTCCAGCCAATTTCGATCTACGTAGACGTCCTAGCCAGAAGCGTCAAACAAATCCTCCTGATGATACACATCCTCCGTTCTGCCCCTCAGGACTAAGCCCTCCAGCCTGACGCGTCCAAGTTCGAATCGGACAGCTTCGTCATCGGCAGACCAAGCAGGGAGTTCGCTTTCTCCCTGTGGCGGGACCAGCGGCCGCACGAGCGCGTGAGGCTTCCAAAGCACAACTTTCTGCACCGCCACCGGCATGAGCGTTGCTGGCTACACGGGTGGGAGAAGCGTGAACGAGTCACAGGGTCGATGTCCAGACGAAACGCTCAAAATTATAGGGAAAGCGTACACGTTACATCAGCAGCAATCTGGGCGAAGGCGGCTTAGTGCACGGAAATCTTCCAACACCCTTTCCACTTTCGGGGACTGACCTACCCCTACCCTGTAGCCTCTTCCCCAGGCCTGGATAGCGAGGTCGCCGGTAGTTGGACCCTCCAGGATGGACGAAGATGTCCCAAGATGGGACCAAGGTGGTCCAAGATAGCCCAAGTTGGCCACTGAGAGGACATAAGATGGCCCACTGTGACTCAAGATGGTATCCAGCATGGTTCCAAGGAGGCCTCAAGCCAGCTCGAGGTGGCCACGGGATGGTATACCGAGAGGCCGACCTCGTGGTGGCCCCAAGATGGCCCCAAGAGAGCTCCGAAGGGCTCCAAGAGGGTCCAGCAAGTCGGGGTTGACTCCAGCTTCGGTTTGAATGGTGATTCCCCTCGATATTCCCCTCAATCACCCCCGCAACTCTTCTCCCGGCATGTCGCACGGGAATCGCTTTCGAACGGGCTCGGGTGGATACGCAAAGTGCAAATGCTTGCTATGAGGCACTAATGGCCAAATGACACCCTGCCATGATTGCCGAAGACGAGACGCAGGGATAGAAATAGTGTAATGCATCATATTGCATGTATATGGCCCTTCTATCCTCGCCATGGATGCTTCGCTGCAGACCTTCAACATCGTGCGCATTTGAAACGGACCGCCCAAGCTCCTTCACTGTCATCAAGGGCTGGCGACGGCCATCGCCGAGGACGTCCACGCGTAGCTGTTCGATGACGGAGAAAAACAACAAAGAAAACATGACATCCACGCATCAGACAAATTCAGACGTGAACTGCTGTACACACGGCGACCGCACTATGGCTATGGGCTATGGGCGCGGCTTGGCCTGCAGGGTAATTGATCTGTATCACTTGTGGCCCTCAAACCTCACAGTACATGTTAGGGTTCCTGTGATATCCCGAGGACCCCCCACCCTCTCGCCACAAAGTGCGAAAATCACCGCTGCTCCCTCATTCCCGAGGCTTCCTGGACGTCCCGACGCCTCCCTGGAACTATCCGAGGCACTCTAAGACTTCCAAGGCGGCCCACGAAGTCCACTGAGGCCGCCAAGATGGCTCAACATATGTTCCTCAAGACGCACGCGAGAGCCACTTGAATAACGCAGACCCAGTAGGTCCAAGCCACCAACATGCCCCAACACATCTTCAACCCGATCTCCAGGAGGCTCCCAAGTGGCCAAAAAACGTGTATCTTCCTATTGTTTTCAATGTTGTTCGATGTGAACGCTCGTCGGTCGAACAGGAG